AAAATGAATACTATCTATAATGGGCTGGAGCGATAGCACAGCAGGTAGGGCATTTGCCTTGCATGCAGCCAACATGGCCAACCTGAGTTTGATTCCTCTGCCCCTCTCGGAGAGCCCAGCAAGCTACCGAGAGTATCTCGCTCGCACAGCAAAGCCTGGAAAGCTATCTGTGGTATATTGGATATGCCAAACACAGTAACAAGTCTCACAATGTTACTGGGCCTGCTCGAGCAAATCAATGAACAACGGGAGGACAGTGATACAGTGACTATATATAATAGTTGACTCCACTATTCACAGCTAGAAATTATCCAGATGAGATGAAAATATTGACCAAATGTTATTACTGTTCTAGTCAATGTTCAAGAAATGACTGTTTAGGGGCTGGAGTGATAACACAGCGGGTAGGGCGTTTGCCTGGCACGTGACTGACCCAGGTTTGATCCCCAGCATCCCATATGGTCCCCTGAGCACCACAAGGAGTAATTTCTGAGTACGGAGCCAGGAGTATCCCATGTACATTGCTGGGTGTGACCCAAAAAGCAAAAAAGAAAGAAAGAAAGAAAGAAATTACTGTTTAAACTTCATGGCAAACAACTGCAAATGCTTATTTTGCAAACAAAATCAATTAACATTATAAAAATATTTTATTCAAATCAAATATGTCAAGGTGCGCAGGAAAGTGTTACTGAATTCTTTCCAGGGTTGTTTCCTCCCAGTGGCCTCCCTGTTCTACTCATTGATTCACTACTCTGGTGCTCATTTATACAGTTTTCATCTGTGCTTCTTTGGAAAATCCTGGAGTCCTACAACAGGACATATGACTCTGGCTGAGAAATGTTGCTCTGGATTGTTATTTTTAATTGGTACAATAATAAATCTTAATATAATTGCATTATACAATTATTAATGCAGTTCATTGTGATCATACTAATACAGTTACATTGAAACAACAGAAAGTTTTTAGATGCCGTAATAAGAAGACAAAATTGGCAACTTAAATAACATTTTATATATCATACCACAAGTTTCCATCCCAGTGGAAAACCAGCAGGACTTTACTACTGTACAAGAAGGGAGACATCCACGACATTGGCAACTATCACCCAATCTGCCTGTTGTCTGTCGTCTACAAGCTGTTCACTCGAGTCATCCTGAATAGGATTGGCAGAACACTAGATGAAGGATAACCATGTGAGCAAGTCGATTTCCAAAAAGGATTCAGCACAATCGACCATATCCACACGATAACCAAGCTCATTGAGGTTTCTTGGGAGTTCAAGATGCTGCTCTGTCTAACGTTCGTTGATTTAAAGACCTTTGATTCTGTTGAGACAGAAGTGGTCATCGAAGCCCTAGCCAAACAGGGCATTCAAACTCAATACATCAGGATCCTCCATGAGCTGTATTACGGATTCACTACCAGGATCTCATCATTCTACAAAGAAGTTATCATTGATGTCAAGAGAGGGGTTCGGCAGGGTGATACCATTTCACCGAAACTCTGCAGTGCCACCCTTGAGAACGTCATGCGACAACTGCAATGGGAAGGAATGGGAGTGAAGATAGATGGTTGGCAACTATACCACCTTGCTTCGCTGATGACATCGTTCTAATAACACCAAATATCAGCCAAGCAGCACAAATGCTGGCCGACTTCAACCATGAGCATGGAAAAGTCAGACTACAGCTGAATCTCATGAAGAAAATGTTTATGAGAAACGATCTCGTTCCTGACATTCCATTTGCTCTCAACGGGACGAACATCTCTGAATGCAACAGTTATGTGTACCTAGGTCGAGAAGTCAACATGACGAATGACCTGGCACCTGAGTTGCGCAGGAGGAAGAGAGTGGCTTGGAACGCCTTCAAGAACATCAAAGAAATAGCTAAGAGAACGAAAGAACCTCTGGCTCCAGGCAGATCTCTTTGATTCCACTGTTTTTCCTACATTAACATATGCCTCAGAGACCTGGACCTATGAAAACAGGATGAGAACGATACTTGTGTCTCCCAAGGAAGAACTGAAAGAGCTATGTTTAGAGTATCATGCTTCACTCAAATGAGAGAAAGAATCCAGAGTTCCGACCTCCATTGATGATCAAGAATCAGGGACGCTTCTCCCATCCTGGGAGGATCCTCCCAACACCCTTTATTTGGTGCTCCTTTCTCTATCTGAGCTCCCTTTTGGATACTGGGACCCGTGGTGGTGGAAAATGGGCACTGATGGAGGGATGGGTGTTTGATCATTGTATAATTGAAACCCAAGCACAAAAATTTATAAATCTACACTGTACCTCATGGTGTTTCACTAACAAAATTTTTTTTAAAAAATTAAAAAAAAAAAAGAATCAGGGATGCTGTCTCGTTTGCCAAGATGTCAAAAATCAGATGGGCTAGACATGTAATGAGATTTGGAGTCGATCACTGGACTAGAGCCATTACTGACTGGATTCCACGGGATGTCAAAAGATCACTTGGCCGCCCACCTATGAGATGGTCAGACTTCTTTTTTTTTTTAATTTTTATTGGTGAAACACCATGAGGTACAGTTGTAGATTTACAATTTTTGTGCTTGGGTTTCGATTATACAATGATCAAATACCCATCCCTCGGTCAGACTTCTTTGTCAAGACCCTGAAAGATATGTTTGAGGCTGTTCATGTTCCTAGAATGAACAGATGCCACTGGGCTACACTAGCACATGACAGGGGTGAATGGAGACATTACTGGTGCCCACTCGAGCAAATTGATGAGCAATGGATGTCAAGTGATCAAGTTATATATTATAAACTTTATATTATATTATATTATATTATAAACATTATATTATAAACTTTAATGCAGATCATCTGTGGAGATAAATCCACTAACGGCATGTATGAAGAAAACACTAACATTTCCATTTTCCTCCTAAAAGATTGAATGCTATGTAACCATTTAATTGCATTCAATAAGAATTTATTGTCCTATATTCTGTATGTATGGGCTAGAGCATAGCATAGCGGGTAGGGCGTTTGCCTTGCATGTGGTTGGCCTGGTCAACCAGGGTTCAATTCCTCCTCCCCTCTCAGAGAGCAGGACAAGCTACCGAGAGTACTGGGCCTTCATGGCAAAGCCTGGCAAGCTCCCTGTGACGTGTTCAATATGTCAAACACAGTAACAAGTCTCACAATGGAGACATTACTGGGCTCACTAGAGCAAGTCAATGAACAACGGGAGGACAGTGCTACAGTGCTATTCTGTATGCCACAAAGTGAGTGTAATGAGAAAAACTATACACAGTCAAAAACTACCCAGCCTCAGAGCTCAAGAAGATTATAATTCTTAAGATAATAATAAGTAAATGGAATTAGGATGAAGTATAAAAATGGCCAAGATGGAAACAATACATATTATGGAAGTACATACCTATGGTTATTATGCCATTTTGACTATAAGGAAAGCCAGCCTCTTTGTAACGGCATAATAATGACCATTGTAAGGAAAAATTTAATAAGGTGATTTGAAGAAAACCTAAACTCCCTTTATTTGATTGTTTCTACATTTAAGCAAATCAGTCCCCATCAACATGACAATAATTTAATATAATGTTAAAGATCTCCACAACCTAATATTGATAGTGACTGATTTTATAGAACTAAAATATAAAAATTATTTAGGTCACTCATCCATCACATGAAAATTTTTTCATGTGTCACTACTAATGGCACCTTTCCTCCTTGCTTCATTTTTGTTTGCTTTTTTTTTTTTCCACACCCTGGTAGAATCCCTAGGTTCCAGTGTGCCAAGTGCTTGTATGCAGTGTTTGAGTTTATATTCTGGCTCATATTTTCCTCCTTGGAACCAATGAGTAACTTAAAGATCACTTGAATCTATTTATCTCTGTTCAATAAAACAGTAAATAAAGTGTTTGTTTAGTGTTCCCTTTCAAGTCATTAGTGAAGAGCTGTCTTTCTAGTTTAATTTCTCTTTCCTCCTCTCCGCTCTGTCTTCCCACATCTCTATCTACACAAACACCCACACCCACACCGCTCCAACACCCACACAACTTCATATATTTTTTCCTTCCTTTCCCCTTCCCCAAAGTGTTCAACCTGTGGAAGTTTGAAAGTCAGCTTTCATGTGAAAGAAGAGTGCCTAATGTCCTAAGATGTGAAAAGAAATGGGAAGGATTTTTGATGAGATGTAGTTTGTTTTCCTCTCTTCCAACTCTCTAGCAAAGGGAGCTGGTACCTGCATGCCATGCCAGGTGGGGAAGGACAGGGTCAAGGAATTTGACACTTACTTATGCATAGTCATAGCTCACTCACCCACTGTGCTTTTAGAGCTAGTTTTATTTCTTTAATAGGCAATCCCCTTTGCCTGGGGGAAATCTCTTTTTCCTTAGCACGCCCACCCCCTCCCCCAATCCCTCCTTCCCCAGCACCCGAAAGGAAGTCCTCAAAGGTGTTTCTGTCCAAAGGTGATCCACAGTTTTCCCTACCATCTCCTACCTACTGTCACATCTTTGCAGACGAGCAGTCCCGAACTTCCCATCCTCTCTCCACTTGCCTGGAAAACAGGCGCAAACGGGACCCCACACCCACCACGTAAGACAAGCGCCCGGGGGTGCAGAGATCCAAAACCCAGAGGGAGGGAGTGGGGCCCGCAGACAGCTGGGCGGCGAGGTGAGCTTCAGACCCGCACCAGGTGCAGGGTTGAGGATGCCCGGGAGGTGAGAGGTAACCGATTCTCTGAGCCTTTCACCAGTCTCTGGAGGTTGAAAAGTGGGGGACGCGGTGGGGGGTGGGGTTTGCTCCGCTCGGGGGGCGTGGGGAAACACCAGCACCTGGCGTGACCCCCGGAAGTTCCAGGGTGCGGGCGTGAAAGGGTGCGGCGCAGGATGCACCGAGCTCCCTACACGCGTACGAGAGAGCTGGCGCGCAGAAGAGGGGGCGAGCGGCGGCAGGTTCCGCCTCCCCCGGCCCGCGCGCACACACGCGCGCCCCGCGGCTCGGGCTGGCGGAGCGCGGGCGAGTGTGAGCGCGGGCGAGTGTGAGCGCGCGGGTGCGCACGCCGCGGGAGCCGCTGCCCTCGCCCGCCTAGCACCCCGCTCAGGGCATCTGCGGAGCCTGGAGACCGGGACACGCTTGAAGTATGGCATGTGGTTGCAGAGATGATTTCTGCCAAGAAGGTGCCCACGATCGTCGCGTGCTGCGGGCTCAGTTTCGCCCTCCTGCACTTCTTGTGCTTGGCGGCTTGGTGAGTTCTCCCGGGAGGGATGAGGGTGGAAGATGGGCGAGGGCAGGGTGCAAAGTGACTGGCTTCCAGCGGGTTCTGCTAGGGCAATCCACTCTCTCTTGGGTAGGTCAGGGACCCAAACCCGGCTGTTGGGGATTGTCGTTGTTGTTACAGTTGTTGTTGTTGTTGTTGTTTTCCTTTCTGTGACCGCATAGACGCGAAGAGCAGGAAGGGCACTAGGTGCAAGAATAGGAGTGTGGGCTGCGGGTGCGTGTTCTCGGGGTGCTCCTTTCCCGGGAAAATTGGCTCTTTCCCATAGCTCAGCCCCTGAACCCTTCACCGAGAGGCCAAAGACTCTTTCCCTAGATGAAGAACCTGTTTGTTTCCACCTGTTCTTTCCTTGATTCTTAAAATAATCCCCTTCGCGCCCCCGCTTTTTCTTCCCTTCCCTCCCCGCCCCCCTCCCACCCTTGTGCATTTGCAGTTTAAACGAATCCCCAGGACAGAACCCAAAGGAGGAGGAGAAATTATGCCCGGAAAATTTTACCCGCATCTTGGACAGTTTACTCGATGGTTATGACAACAGGCTGCGTCCTGGATTTGGGGGTATGAACGATGATTTCGAACGCTCCAGTGTGTCCTGTTTGTCGCTCTCCGTCTGCCTGTCTGTCTGTCTGTCGGTCGGTCCGGGGGAGCAACCTTAGGTATGCTTAACGTGCAGAAATGAACCTTTTCGTCTGTCTCTTTTCCCATCCTCCCCCTCCCCCTTCCCCCTTTGCTCCTTTCTTGATGAGACCTCTGACAAGACCGCCCCCTCCCGTCCTGTCCTTTCCCAGCTCCCTGCCCCCTCACGAGCTTTGCTTCTCCCCCACACTAATTACCTCCCGGGACCTGCCTGGCTGGGTGGGGGAGGCTGGAGCAGAAGTGTCAAAAATGGGAACTCTCCAGGATCCGTGCTGCACCCTGGCAGTGGAGTTCCAGAAAGCTGGTGACTTTGCTTACAGCCAGGTTTCGCGGGAGGCAGCTGCTCCGAAGTCCCCTGCCCTCCCACGTGGTGTCCATCCCTCTGCCAAAACCTTGGCCGCCCGCGTTCTTCCTAGGACATGAATCTGGGACAAGAAGCTGCAGGTTCTGTTCAGGAAAGCGGGTCCTTGTCTTTTTCTCTGCTTCAGTGGGTTGCAGGTTTTTGTGTGTGTGTTTTTCTTTTCTTAAACTTTATTTGGCTTTTTCTTCCCTCCTAAGACTTAAAAGTCGCAGTTGTTTCTGAATGACTTCTTTCTGTAGTACAAATCTCTAAAAGATCTAATATAGGGACAGGCATGAACAACATTGTGGGTCTTTTTTTTTTTCCAAATTGAACATTCCCCTTGCTTATATAATGAAAACCTATGGGGTAAAAGTTATACTAGGATGTACTTGGTTGGCAGACATTTGCAGACCCAATCTGAACCTGAAAGGCCCTCTCAGTCCGGTTCAAAGAAGACTGGTGACAAGGAAGGCCTTCCCAGAAGTGTCCACCCATATTTCCGGACAGCCAAATCCTTGTTGTTTCCACCACTGCTGAGCCAGTTACATCCAGGAAATGAGTTAAATAACATGCAGGCTGTTTCTTAAAGGACCTAGATTCTAGTAGTACTGGTAACAATAATAACCACCGCTGTTGCATCTGTTTATTTTCATATGCGTGTACACCAGGTGTTTTATAGGCATCTGTTATTAATTCTCAAGATGCTGAAAAAAAGCTATGCTTGCCCCCCCCCTTATTTTATAAATGATGATACTGAGGCTTGAGAAGTTAAATAACCAGTCTAAGTTCAGAGTTGGTAAGTGAGATCAGCAGGGTGAAAACCCAGGTGAGATTAGGAATATCATATACCATGTAATGAGTCACCCACCTATTAGAAGCACAAAAAAAATAGAAACTTCTGAGGTACATTAAAAAATACAGGAATGAGAGAATGGATTCAGTTAATAAGAGGCAAGGTACCCTGCAAAAGGAAGGGTACCTTGGCATGATTTAGGAATAGTTTTTTGGAAGAAGAATTGTTGGAGATAAAGTAAAAATTGGACCAAGTGGAGCTGAATGGATCTTTAGAATTGGTCTAATCTTGTTTCTTGTGTTGTTTTTCAACAATTTAGAAGAATAGAGTCTAGTAAAGGGAAGAGATTTAGAGGGACACAGGGCCCACCAGTCTGGGTCAGTCTGGTCTTCTGATCTAAGCCATTTTTTTTTCTCCTAGACTTTATTGAAAGGTGAAAAGTTACCCTTAGGTTGCTGAGGACATTAATTTAATTTTTGTGAGTTGACAATTAAAAAAATTGGATGATAAGGGTGATTTTCTTGGTTCTTTATACACTGTGTTTTACTTAGCATTTCATTCATCTTTATTCACATCTGAAATGAAACTTTTTTACAGAAATAAATCAATTGTTGATGCTCAGTCTTTTATAAGTCATTGAGAAAGTGCCACTTTAGGTAAAAAATTAGAGAAGATTTTTGATAATGTGATATATTTATGACTGTATTTTATCAATAACGGAGAATTTATCAACCACTAAAAGTTTCAAACTTCACTTTTAAAGGGAAGAAAAATGCATCAAAAACATATAATTTAAATATTAGAGAATGGAAGAACTTAAACATAAAATAATGTGGAAAGTTATAGTTGCAGTTATATCATTTTCTTATTAAATGTTGAAAGTTAAAATTATTTCTTCACAGTTGGCTATAGTAACACAAATTATAATTCAAAAGAGGAAGGAATCCATTGTAAATGGATGCTTTTTAGTAACTTCCCTCTTTCGTAATATGACACAGACCATCAAATGCGTGAACTCATTATTGGAAAACTGTGAATTTCAGTTAGCTGCAATGCTACTGGTAATGTTATTAGTCATTTCCATTGTCACTGCCAAGTATTACCCACTTTGATAAACTTTTATAGTTTTAAGGGAAAGGTGTTGAATTGACCTTGCTTTAAGTAGCAGCTGATTATGAAAATTTACTACGTAGCATATTTTTGGGTTCAGCTCATAAATATTTGTGATTAATGTGATTCATTTTTTAGAAGTGGGTCATTCTTTGTAAATGTGTTGTATTCCAGATGTGACAGAGGAATAGTATTTCTCACCTGCAAAAAATGTGTAATCTGTTTACAAAATGTTGTAAATGAGCATCGCTGACATAATAAGAAAACATGATTAGCACAGACTCTCAGATGCCACAGGTTTGATCCCATCTGACATTTCACAATTTGTGGAAAGTTTGGCATTTTAAAAATAAAATGAATACAATTCACATTTGGACCAGTATGCTATAAATACAGATTGACTTCCTGATTCCTATAATCCTACCTTTGCTCTTTGTGGAGCATTGACTTTTTTATCTGTTTATACAACTTAACTGTGTTCCATTTAAACTAAAGCTAAAAGCAAAGATTTGGATTAAAATTGGATGGCTTGTGATTGCTCAGTAGGCCAGGCAGGGGTTGAAATAGATTTGGAAGCTGAATTTTATATTTTTAACTCGACAGCACAGCTTGCGATGGGGAAATAAGAGGAACCCAAATGGTTCTCTTCCTTTCATCTCTCTAGGATCGCTTCTCCTTTAATCCCACATTGCCCCATTGCAGAAGAAAAGGGGGAAGGTGAGAAGAGAAGGAAAGATGCATGGTGAGAGGAGCTAGTTTGGGACATCTGAGGGTATAGTTATTTTGACCTCTGTCAAATCAGTCTTCCATCCATCTCAAAGTAATTTGAACCTACATCGCAGTGGCATATAAGTGAACCTTCCATAAAGGAGGGGGTGCTCTTACCCATTTTTAAAACTGTGACAAGCCTTATTTAAAACTGCCTAGCTAAGGTACCAACCACCAGGATATTGTTCAGCCAGATTGTACCCATTTCAATTCACTGAAGGGTTCTCCAATCTTTTGTGCATCCTCGTCATTTGAGGTACATTGTGTAGAATAATAAATTCTTGAAATATAAATGCTCACCTTAGTTCATATTCCACAACCTCTCTGAAGTAGTGCTAGATATTTAGGGTTAACTTAGCAAGGTTGTTTGACAACACTGAAGGATTTCATATTAGTGGAGTCCTCTACAGTTTTGAGAATATTTTCATGTTCAATATCTAGGATGATCACAAGACAAAAAGATTAGCAGGATGGGCTTCATCCCCCTGCTCAAGGACAGACTGAGAAAAGTTGCAACGAATTCCCTGTACAATCCACTGCAAGCAAATAAACGACCACATTTCATGTCCTACTCATTAAAAAATAGCAATATAAAATACTGTCCTGGAATAATCCTGTAGCATGCTAACATAGAGTATGCCATGCTGTGAAGGTTCTGTTTCAGACATGCGGTCTTTTACATTTAGACCTAGTGATAATGGACATGGTAGCAAAAAAGTTCTCAAGCAGACAAAAGTAGTACAAAGATCTCAAGATACGTAAGTGTGGTTACGTAGTTTAGGAAATTCAATTTCTATAGTTGTAAAGCAGTAGGAAGAATGTCATCAGAATATCTTGGGGTGGTAAACCAAAGTCAGCTCAATGCAAGCTCTTTGAGAATTATTTTTATTGTTGTTGTTGATTTGGACCATACTCTGCAGTGTTCAGTGCTTCCTCCTTTCAGGGATCCTGAAAGACACTTGCATGGTGAAAGTCTTAACCCACTGTACTATCTCTCAGGCACGCTCTGTGAGAATTCTTTAGATAGTTTAGATAGTTCTTTTAGTGAACACGAAAGCCTTTTAATGTGTTTTGTTTGTTTTTGTAGTAGAGGAAATGACAGATGATTTATACTATAATGTGATCTCTCTGGTCTGTATATAGCAAAAGATTTAGAATATGGAGAAATAATAGAATTAAACCAACAACTGACAAAACTTTCTCGTTCTCCCCTAACTCTCCCTCTCCCTCTCTCCTTCCCTCCCTCTCTTTCATTTTCTCCCTCTCTTTCTCCCTCTCTCTATGTGTCTCTTTCTCAACAAATTCATGATAAGTTAGGAAAAATATTTTTTAAAATATACAGTAAAGAAAAGAGAAAAATAAAGATGACTCTTGGGTTTTGAGAAAGTGGGAAGAATATGTTAATTTGGAGAATACTGGAGTAATAAAAACTTGTTTAGGGTGAAATTAAGGGTTTTATGTTTATGTTAAGCTTTAAGCTGAGCACACACATACACACATATACATAAGACATATATATTTATTGCATATATGCAGCAGTTTTACTTGTTTGGATATAAAAGAGTTTGGTCATGAGACTTCTGTCATACAAAGTGATCAACACCTATGCTGTGAGAATAGATGTCTATAGATAAGTATAGAAAGAGTCAAAACATCAGTATTAAAACAAGACACAAGAAATGGCAGAGGGACTGGAGTGATAGCACAGTGGGTAGGGCATTTGCCGTGCACAAGGCAAATATGGGTTTTATTCCCAGCATCCCATATGGTCCCCCGACCACTGCCAAGAATAATTCCTGAGAGCATGAGCTAGGAGTAACCCCTGTGCATCAATGGGTGTGACTCAGAAAGCAAAAAAAAAAAAAAAAAAGGAAATGGCAGAGCACTTGCCAAAGAAGATTTAAAAGA